AAACAATGAATCATGGAACACTACATCAAAAACTAATGATGTATGGTGATTAACATAATTAAAAATTTAAAAAAAAATAAGAATAGGAAAAAAAATTCTAGGGATTAGGCTCTCAGTAGGAAAGTTCCCAGTAGGAGCAATTGACACAGCAGTGATTCAAGAGCAGAGACCCAGGAACTACAATACTGACCAAAGTGTTCATTGGAGCATAAAGGGTTATTTTTTCCTTCTACTGAAAGTGGTCCAGTTTTATTATTGACAAAATATACCTATTATATAAATGTCATTGCTGTAAAAGAATATTTGCATAGTGATATCCACAACTATGAAGTGAGCTCAGAGTTGGGTTGGGTTGGCTGTCCTCTTCATTTTATAAATAAGTAAACTGAAGCTTAGAAAGTTAGAAGGACATGTAAAAACTGAACTTCATATCCACATAACGATTCCAAATCCATTCATTGTTCTCTATACTACTCTCCAACCTAGGGGACAGCTGTTGACCCTATATCCTCCCCGCCTATGGATCCAAGAAGAGTTGTTGATTTTTCCATCTCTTCAACTTTTTACTTGTTAGGACACAGTGGCTATCCTCGTATGAGGAACTGGAAACTGGAAGTGAAATGTGTAGTTTTAAGTAAAAAAAAATATAAATCATGAATAGGTGCAGAAAAATTTGACAAGATCCAACATCCATGCATAATAAAAACCATCAACAAATTAGAGAATTGCTTTAACCTGACAAAGGGTATGTATGAGAAACCTACAGCTAACATATTTAATAGTGAAATATACACTAAGATCGGGAACAATATAAAACTACATCCTCACCACTTCTATCTGCCATTGTGGTGGAAATTCTAGCCAAGGCAAGTTGGCAAGAAAAAGAAAGAAAAGGCATCCAGATTGAAATTAAGTAAAACTCTTTATTCACAAATGACATTAGTCTTGCATACACAAAATCCTAAGGAATTCACTGAAAAAAATTACTAGAATAAACAAGTTCAGCAAGATCACAGGATATAAGAGCAATATATATACTCACAACAAACAATCCAAAAATGAAATTAAGAAGGCAATTCCAAATGTATAAAAGTGCAAGCATCTTTTTAAGAGGTCTATCCTTCAAAAACAGAAAACACATAAAATTACTTTACTGTCATTATCTAGTATGGATGGACATGTAGCTCTACTTTGAAACTCCCTAGCTACTTACCTTTTCAAAATAAAGTAATTTTCACTTACTTTGCAAAAAGTTTTTTGCCATTCTCAATAGCATGAAATAAATACTTAGGAATAAATTTAGCAAAAAAAGTGCAATACTTGTATGCTGAAAACTACAAAACACTGTTGAAAGAAATTTTGAAATAGATAGATACCCCATGCTCGTAGATTAGATATTAGACTTAATATTATTATGATGGCAGTACTCCCCAAATTGATCTATAGATTGAACACAACCACTATCAAAATCCCAGCTAACTTTTTTCAAAATTGACCAGCTGATCCTAAAATTCTTTGGAAATGCAAAAGACCCAGAATAACCAAAACAATCTTAGAAAAAAGAAGGAAAAGCTGGAAGACTCACACTTCCCGATTTCAAAGTGTACTACAAAGCCACAGTAACCAAGACAGTGTGGTACTGACATCAGTGAAATAGAACAGAGTCCAGAAGTAAACATCTATGGCCAAATGATTTTTAAGAAAGGTGACAGAGGCAACATGGGAAAATAGTCTTTTTAATAAATGGTACTAGAACAAATGAATGACATGAATGAATGAATATGCAAAATGATGACTTTGGATGCTTACCTCACCCCATACATAAAATCTCAAGATGGATTACAGACCTCAATTTAAAGCTAAAATTATAAAATCCTTAGAAAAACATAGGAGTAACTCTTTGAGACTTCAGATTAAGCAATGATTTCTTAGACACAACACCAAAGGCGTAAGAAATAAAATAACTGATAAGCTAGACTTCATCAAAATTAAAAACTTTTACATTTTGAAAATAAATGAGTTCACCCTGGTATTTCCAATTCAAATTTAACATTACAGAGTTTCTACTCAGCTTACTTTATTTTATAATTGCATATCTTGATTCATAACATTGTTACATGTTTTATACTCAGTTGTTATACGTTGTACTCAGTTATCTTGAGTACAACTTAAATTCCTTTGCTGCTCTTTTCCTAAGATATAGATGACAACATAGAGTCAAAATACTAGGATTTAAAGATACTAAAAATAACTCTGTGTGATTATGGCATGAACTTAATATAGTCAGGTTTATTTTCAATTTTTAAGGATTGCTTTTTCTTTTTGATCCAATTTTGTTTCATAATTATATAAAACACTTACATGGTTCCAAACTATAAACAAGGAACATTCAAATAAGTTTTAACTTTCATTCCTGTCCCCTTTACCCAATTCCTTCCTTCCCCCTAATTAGTAACCACTTTCATTAGTTTTTGGTTTATCCTTCCATTGTTTTTTGGAAACATAAAGGAAATACACAAACTCATATCTCACCCATTCCTTCCATAAAAGATAGCATACCATATATACATTGTCTACATGATGCTCTTTCAACAACACATCTTAGAGATCAAGATCACTCCATGGCAATAGTAGATATCTTCCTCAAACCTTTTTATAGTCACATAGTAGTAATTCACTGTGCAGCTACACCATAAACAATCCCCCTTTGATATGCGCATTTGGATTTTTTTCAGTCTTGCTATTACAAATACTGTTGCTATACTAATACTATAGATAGCCTTGTACAGGCTTCATTTATATTTTGCCAGTGAGTTTTGGGGATAGAATGCTAGAAGTGGAACATAACAATAAAAAAAATTAAAAAAAAAAAAAAAGAATGCTAGAAGTGGGATTGCTGGTCAAAGGATAAATCCCACATAATTTTGCTAGATATTGCTAATTTCTCCATAGAGATTGTACCATTTCCAATAATCTTTTAACTGTTTTTCCTTTCACTCTTGTCCACCTGTAACTCATTCTCCCTCATATCTTATAAAACATAGATTAGGTAATATTACTCTCCTGCTTAAAACTTCAGCGGCTTCCTATTGCGTTTAGAATAAAATCCAGTCTCTTCACAGTATCTACAAAAACTTAGGTGATGTAGATCCTGCCTCTTTCTATCAGGATTAGGTTTGGCTATGAGCAAGAGACCCAAAATAGCAACAGCTTGTACAAGATAAAAGTTTACTTCTCTGGGGCGCCTGGGTGGCTCAGTCGGTTAAGCATCGACCCTTGATTTTGGCTCAGGTCATAATCTCAGGGTTGTGAGATCGAGCCCCGTGTCGGGCTCCACACTGGAGGTGGAAACTGCTTAAGACTCTCTCTCTATCCCTCTCTGCCCCTACAACCCTCCCTCTCTTAAAAAAAAAAAAAAAAAAGTTCTCTGACATGTAAGTCTAGAGGAAGACCACCCAAGGGTGGCAATGAGGTACAAACTTTAAGAAGTCCTTGAGGCACAAACCCCTTTCAGACCATGCTCTACCAGCCCTATGACCTGACGTGCATCCCCGTGACCACAAAGAATGGCTAGAATTCCAGTCATTATATGTGTTCCAAAGAGAAAAGATGGAAGAAGAGTAAGAAAAAGGCAAAGGGTAATGCCCACTGTTTTTTTTTTTTTTAAAGATTTTATTTATTTATTTGAGAGGGAGAATGAGATAGAGAGAGAGCACGAGAGGGAAGAGGGTCAGAGGGAGAAGCAGACTCCCCGCTGAGCAGGGAGCCCGATGCGGGACTCGATCCCGGGACTCCAGGATCATGACCTGAGCCGAAGGCAGTCGCTTAACCAACTGAGCCACCCAGGCGCCCCAATGCCCACTGTTTTTTAAGGAAGATTCCTGGAAGCTCTACACGATCCTTCCATGTATAGGCTGTGAGTCAGAACTTAGTCATATGACTATACCTAGGTATAGTTACACCTGAGAAAGGCCAGAAAAGGTCATCTTTATTCTGGACAGCCACATGCCCAGTCAAAAATTGGGAGACATAACCAATGGACTAAGTCTCTGCTGCACAATCTCTTCACTTTGATCTACTACTACTCCACCCTCACTCACTCTGTTCCAGCCACACAGACTTCCTTTATTCCTCAAAGAAGCCGAGTTCTTAGTTATCTCAAGGCCTCTGCTCTTGCCATTCTACCTGCCTAGCAAACTCCTCCACACACCTTCACATAGCTGGCTCCCTCTCACCACTCAGGACTCAGCTCAAATGTCACTTCCTCAGAGAGACCTTCTTTGACAACTGTATAAAAAGTCACCCCTTTCCATAACGTACTGCCTTATTTTCTTTATAACATTTATCTCAACTGAAATTATCTTTTACCTTCCTCCACCAGAATATAATTTCCACATGACAGGGATCTTTTTTGTCTTCATTGCTATATCCCTGTTGCCCAATACAATTCCAAGTATACTGTAGGAGCTTAATATTAGTTAAAGGAATGACTGTCTGACTCCAAAGCCCATGCTTTTTCCACCATCTCTGCTATTCATGGTATATATGAAATAATACCCCATTCCAGAAAGTAACCTTTGTTTTTAGACTGACAGCCTATTAAAGTTTTTTCCTTTCAAACAAATTTTAAAAAACATCATTTATAAAGTAAAACAAAATCTTCCTGTGCCCAATAAATTAAAAGAAGAGATTTAGAGATTTAGATACAGCATCTTGAGCAAGTCTCCTAAGTTGCTTGATCTCATAGTTTGCATCTATAAAATGGAAGAGTTGGTTAAAATGCATTCACTTAATCTGCAGATATTTACTAAGCACTGTGCTAAAGCAAAATTAGGGACATGAAAGTTAAATAATTTCTGCCCTCAAAAGAGGCTCACAGTTGCCTTTGATTCCATATAATTGTTGGCTTGTAATATCTGTGCTAGAGAAAAAGCCTACGATTTCTCATTTCTGAGACATTAATTAAAGATCTGTCACCAAGACACTGATAAAAACACTGCTTCATTTTAAAAGTGAGTATTTAATTCAACATTGCAATAAGAATTGAACAGTATTAAAAACAGAAGCATATTAGTGGCTTAAAAAAGTGTATATTAATCTCTAGTTTCCTTTGGAGGAGATTTTAATTGCCAACTCTCTACAGTGAAATGATACTAGGAAAATGTCTTTAGAAGACAGAAATTCTCTCTGGACCCAACTCTAAAATGCTTAAAAGGAATTGAAGGTTTTAAAGATCCAAATCAGAAATATTAGAGATACCTCATTTGAATCCTAAAAATTTGATGTAATAAACATTACATTTTTTTTAGAAAGATGGTCCAAGAAAATAACAACTCAGCATTTTCTAGAATCTGGCATCCCAGATCATCATGACTATTATCGAGCACCTGGCTGTGACTCATTTACTACCACCTTCTTTGTTCTTCTAGATCCTTCTTGAATTCCATCTGGGCAATTCCAAAGGCACTGAGAGGAAAACAGATGCAGAGATAGATGCATATTTCTCCTGCAGGCCCTCTCAGCACAGCAATTAAGCAAATAATCAGTGAGAAAAAAGTATATAATCCATCACGTATAGTCCCCACAAGACTTCAATCAATTTGAAAAATTGCCAGTTCTGTCAAATATGCCAAGACTCCAATAAGGTATTTATGACACAGAATCTGAAAAAACACAAAAAAACAGACATTTAAAATTAGAATTCTGATAACAAGGCAGTTTAATATTTGACAAATATTCCGGGCTTATTTTAAATTCTGCAAGCTAAGATGAACCCAAACCACTGCTGCTCTAAGTCAAATAAATTTTATTCAATTTAATGAAGACTACTAACTTTAATAAATATACAACTATTAGTGAATGGTGCATAGAAATAATTAAAGTTCTTATTTATCTTGATTTCCATGGATGGGCTATCTGCATAAGGAGTAAGGAGAGGAACGGGTATCCCTGAACCCCTTGGATTTATATGCAAATTGAGTATCTACATTTTCTAGAAAGATGTTCCATAGCTTCCTTCTTCTCAAAGGGATATATGATTCCAAAAGTATCTTGTAGAAACTAAGCAGATGGCAGAAACCTGGTTAATACACTAATTGCAAACTTTTGAGAGGCAGTACACTGTTCAATTAAAAGCATAAGCTTTTGAGTCAGATGACTGGTTTCAAATTCAAACTCCACTTATTAGCTATGTGATCTCAGGGAACCTACTTATCCCCTGTGCTAGTTTCATCTTTACAAGCTATGTCAACGGATTGTTGTGAAAAACTAAATAAGACAGTATACATAAAATGCTTAATAATGCCTGGCACAGCTAGTGCTTAATAAATGTTCACTATCAAAAAAAATTAAAAAATGTTAGCTATCATCATGGCATTATATGAAGCTAGGAGCCAGTTACTGTCTTATATCATTAAGAGAGGCTCTTAGTGGGGCGCCTGGGTAGCTCAGTAGGGTTAAGCGTCTGACTTGATTTTGGCTCAAGTCATGATCTCAGGGTCATGGGATCAAGTCCGGTGTTGAGCCCTGTATCAGGCTCCACTCAGCATGGAGTCTGCTTATCCCTCTCCCTCTGCTCTTCCCTCCCACTTGCTTGTTCTATCTCTAAAATTAATAAATAAAATCTTAAAAAAAAAAAAAAGAGGCTCTTACATGTAGAATACACCAGATAAAATCAATTTGTTAAAGAACCACCTTTATATTCATAAGAACACATTATATATAACAGTTTTTAAATGTAGTTTACTAATGGAATGTGGGCATATGAAAATAAAAATCTTAAAATACATAAGGACTTCATGAACACTGAATTCTAAGGTGCTAAAATGGAATTTTTTTCCTTTATAATATCAAAGTAACAAGGTATAGTATAATCTTTCAAATGTTCTACTGCAAACCAAAGAAATAAATTTAACATCATGACCCAGTACAAGCAAATGTACACCCTTACCACATGTGATACACTCATTTTTATATTTTCTATTATATTTCTCTCGTTTTTTAAAGCTGGTCTCTTCCCATCAAAATTATTTTCCAACTTACTATTGCATTATGACCTTCAGTTTGAAAAACATTAATACAGTACTTATAGAGTACGAGCTCTTTGGCACCTAAGAGATAAGCATTCAAATACTGACTCCTCCTCTGACTAAGCTATCTTGCAGGTATCACTTTCACCTATCTTATTTTAAAAATAAAATGTGGGGGCGCCAGGGTGGCTCAGTCATTAAGCGTCTGCCTTAGGCTCAGGTCATGATCCCAGTGTCCTGGGATCGAGCCCCGCATTGGGTTCCCTGCTCGGCAGGAAGCCTGCTTCTCCCTCTCCCACTCCCCCTGCTTGTGGTTCCCTCTCTCACTGTCTCTCTCTGACAAATAAATAAATAAAATCTTTAAAATAAAAATAAAATAAAATAAAATATGGATAAAAACACCTACTACAGGGTTGCTCTAAAGGTTAAAATTAAGGTGTATTAAACTCCTAGCACAGTGACAAGACCAATATTCACTGTTTACTGTGGCTATATTTTAGTACATTTTAAACATATTAATATATTTTATTATATTTAGGTGCCTACTCTCAGTTTATTTCTGATACTTCCTCTAGCAGGTACTTCATAGAGAGTAAAACAATGTCAATTTTTTCTTTCCCAGTAGGGAGAGAAAAGCCTAAAATATAAAAATGACATCTTAGTTATGTATTTCTGGCTATAATTTTCTGATCTAACACACAAAATCCTCTGTTGCTCCAATAGTCATTTCAAAGTTTGACAAAGCAATTTTTAAAGTTTCAAAGTTACTACAGAATAATTCCTATTATTACCAAAGTCTGTAGCACATAGCATACAGTATCCTCCCATTATAAAGCTATATCTAGAGGCTGAAGACTTTCTAGTAAATCATTTATAAAGCATAAAATATCTCTACTATCTTGAATTAGCATTCAAATGTGTTTCTTCAATGTAGAAAATACAATTACCATACATTTTGAAAGCTATGTAACAACAAGGAAAAATTACTTAACTAGATTTGTTCAGACTAACCTTTATTTTTCCATCAGTATGTGCTGAAGCTACAGATGTGGAAACACGGACCAATCTTGTGGCTGATAAGTGAATTTTGAAATGCCTATGGAAATGTGAATAAAGGCAGTCCATAAATAAGTCAACTTCCTCCTGAGTAACTTCCCCAGGTGTTTTGTGGACACTGTCCCACAAAGCTTTGGCATCCTCTGGATGTATGGCATAAGAAATGTCCAGACTTTGAGGGCTACAGGGTACAGACCAAAGAAATTCGGTAGCAGCCATATACTGGTCCATTTTGCATGCAGTCCACATAGCAGCCATCCAGGAAAGATTAAACGCATTGATTGCTAAGGGACTGAAATAACAATCAAAAGTTTTCTGAAACCAGGTTCCTACTATGGCTGTGTTCGTCTCTGCTCCATTTGCAAGGAATAAGGGTACACAGGTGAAATCTTCTGAAACAGTCTCCAGAAGACTGTCTCCAAATATACAGCAGAACCAACCAGTCCACAACACTTTATGTTCTCTGTTCTCATATGGCAATTGAGATTTTGACAGAATCTACAAAGAAAAAAAAGGTTAAGTTCAAAAGTACATTTACTCCTAAATTACATCTTCTCAAAATTAGTACATTTAAAAATAAGAAGATATGTTGTACTACTTGCCAAAAAACACAAAGGGAATAATCTCCCTAATCACTATTAGGATTTATCAAGTTAATTGACCTACCTCCTAATACTCTTATTAGGATATGGTATATGGCAAGATCTTGGTGCAGCCAAAATGCAAAATAAGGAATGCCGATATGGTGTAATCAAGTACACTATCCTGAGAAAAAAAAAATCTCAAAATCTGAACTTCAGAAGGGACTGTAAAAAGTCACCAAATCCAACGTGCTTGAATTCTTCCTAAGGCAGCTCTATCAACTTAAAAACGTTCTCGCATATGTTAGGCCCACAGTTTCCACCCGCAGGTCCTGTTTTCTTCCTTATGTGCATGTAGAACAAATCAAATCTAATTTCTCTTCTATAGGAAAAGCCCTTCAAATATTTGATGACCCCTATCATATGTAATGTCAAGTTCAACATCTCCATTTCTTCAACCATTCTTCCTATGCCATACACATTATCCTGGTCACTCTGAAATTCTTCTGCAGGGGAGTCATTCATAAGTGAGTATAATTACTTCAAAAAGATCTGATTAAAGGACTGTAACCAAGGTGCCTGGGTGGCTCAGTCGTTAAGCATCTGCCTTCGGCTCAGGTCATGATCCCAGGGTCCTGGGATCAAGCCCCACATCGGGCTCCCTCCTTGGTGGGAAGCCCGCTTCTCCCTCTCCCACTCCCCTTGTGTTCCTGCTCTCGCTGTCTCTCTCTGTCAAATAAATAAATAAAATCTTTAAAAAATAATAAAATAAAATAAAATAAAATAAAGGACTGTGACCATCTTTAACCTAAATTATACAACTATTAATATAATCTTAGATTGCAGTAGTTTTCTAATTTTTAGTTGACAGCTTTACATAAATTACCCTATTCGTTTTTTGCTATTAATAGGTAAATCTCTGGGCACCATGGTGGCTCAGTCAGTTAAGCAGCCAACTCTTAATTTGGGCTCAGGTCATGATCTCAGGGTCCTGAGAATGAGCCCCACGTCAGGCTCCATGCTCAGCAGGGAGTCTGCTTGAGATTCCTCCCCTCTCCCCCTCCCCCTGCTTGTGTGCTCTCTAAAGTAAACAAATAAATCTTTAAAAAAAAAAAAAAAAGGTAAACCTCCCCTAATATAGAGGCAGTATATTTATTCCTATTAAAATTTTAATCTCTTTCAATTTGATCCATTGCGCCAATCCATTCAGATTTTTCAGAATCTTGATTATGTTTTCCAGCAGACTGACATCTCAAACTTCAAATCTATAAAGTACATGACAAACATACCTTCCAGATATTCATAGTTTTAAAGTTTGACCAGGATAAAATGAAGATCACAGCCCAGTATCATATCTCTTTAGAGATAATCATTTTAACAGTTACTTTTTGCATATTTCTCCTCCTTGTTTAAAAGACTATGAGACTTAAAAGCCTTTAAGCCCAGATAGGTCTATCACACTTTCATAACCTAAAAGTTCTGTAACTCTGTGAAGAAATGAGATTTAACTTGGACACTATTAGGACACTCTACTAAGAGTTCAAGAGGTCATTTCTATTCCTTACAAGAACGTTTGCCTGTTGACATGCAAATCACATCCCTTCTCTGGGCATCAACTGCTTCATCTGACAAAGACTGCTAACTGTCTACCCAGTACCTCTTTTTTCCTCCACAATAAAACTATGCTTTTAATGAGGTGACAAAGTACCCATTAAAACAGAAAAATTTCCTAGTCTGCCTTCCGACTGGGATGTAAAGAGAAGTTGTTGGGTCTTAGCGGTCTCATTAAAGATTCATTCGGTTCACCCTCCTACTTCCTGCCTGGAACTTGCAGAGAATATTTAGAGCTTCAGGAGCCACCTTAGATTTAAGATGCAACCTTAAGGAGAGAAGCCATGCACCAAGGATGAGAGAGAAGATGGAGAAGATGGAAGAAGCCTAGATTATTAATTCATAAAGCATATACCAGCCTTAAACATCTTACCTCCAAACACTTTTTGGTAAGACAAATAAGCCTCTATCTATTAAACCTCATGGCAAGACATTTAATTCACGGTTATTTGGTCTTTCTGTTTTATGCAGCTAAACCTAATGCTAAGAATCTTGAAGATCCTTGCCAATATTATGATCCATACCAGGAGTTAGCAAATTTTTTCTGTAAAAGTCAGATAGTAAATATTTTAGGCTTTGCAAGCCATATGGTCTCTGTAGCAAATACTCAAACGTGCTATTGTAGCACAAAAGCAGCCATAGACAATATGTAAACAAATGAAAGGAGTTCCAGTAAAACCTTATTTGCAAAAACAGCAACAAAAACAAGCAGCAGGTCAGTTTGGCCCGCACGCCATAGTTGGCATATTTCAGAATTTAATTCATAATGACTAAGATGAGTTCACTCAGAAGAAACAGAAGTAGCAGGCATGAATAATAAATCCAGTTTCTTAATCCAAAAATAGTCATATTGCTTTTAAATACTACACATAGGAAGGAATGTTACATTTCTAAGAGTAACCTGGCATGATATATCACAATATATGATGATTGATTATATGTGTGTGTGTGTGTGTGTGTATATTTTTTTTTGCTAAAATTCCACTTCTAGGAATTTAGTCCATAGAATTAGACAGATATACTTACAAAAATGTAATATTCTTGGTTTTTTTTTAAAGATTTTATTTATTCATTTGAGACACATAGATACAGAGAGAAAGAGAGAGAGAGAGAAAGCATGAGCAGGAAAAGAGGCAGAGGTAGAGGGAGAAGCAGGCTCCCCGCTGAGCCAGGAGCCCGATGTGGGGCTCGATCCCAGGACCCTGGGATCATGACCCAAGCCGAAGGCAGACGCTTAACCATCTGAGCCACCCAGGCGCCCCCAAAAATGTAATACTCTTATGGACATGAGTAATTATCTACAACATTATTATTAATTTTAAAAACAAGGCCATATGCAAAAGTATGGGCAATAAAAATCCCAATTTTAGTAGATCCAGATAGCCAGATAACATCTATGTTCATGAGAGATACTGATCTATAGTTTTAATAATCTTTGTCTAGTTTTAGTATTGGGTAATGCTAGCCTCACAGAATGCATAAGGAAGTATTCCCTCTGGTTCTATACTCTGAAGAGACTAGAAAACTGAAATAATTTCCTCCTTAATCGTTTGGCAGAATTCACCAGTGAACCCATCTGGGCCTGATGCTTTCTATTTTGGAAAGTATTGACTCAATTTCTTTAATAAATAGAGGTTTACTCAGATTGTCTATTGCCAAATAGATGTAGACCAAGTGTTAAACTGTGGTTTTCAATTTTCTTTGTATTTTTATGTATTTTCTAAGTTTTCTAAAGTAAACATAACTATAATGTAACTGGAAAAAAAACTTTTTAGTTAGCCATACCCAATTACTATAATTTGGTCAAACAAGACATAAAATAGGTTATAAATCACAAGGTTAAAATTTTTTTTAAATGGTAATTCTACCACAATTTTTAAACCCAGACAGTGCCAATTCTTTTCCTCCAGGAAGCAAGGATTGCTTATATAACATACCTGGACGAGAAACGCTTCAGAGTCTCTTTGTGTTCCTTTCATTCCTAGGAGAGTGGAGAAAGTCACTTTGATGTTGAAGTCTTCTCCCACTTCTACAGCAAGCCCTTTTTGCTTTTCAGCAGCAATAAATGCACTCAGAAGTCTAGAATACTCTTTGAGATTAGTATAGGAGAATTTATATAGGGGAGTTAGACTATATAAAGTCCATTGTTTATGCAGAAGGAATGCAACTTTTTGAGGATCATTATCTTCCTACAGGAAAACAAAAGTCAAGACAAGTTTAAATTCTCATTTACTAATATTTCCTAATTCTTTATCATAGTATTTTAAATACTTAATACAAATCTATTACTGGGTACCTGATCTTTACACTCCAGCCAAAAGAGAGTTTGCAGAACTCTGAAGATCCCTGAACAAGTCTTTTCATTTGCTGTACCATCACTCTGGAATACTCTTCCCATATGTGTTCACATGGCATGTTCCTTTCCTTCACTCAGGTCTGTCCAAATGTCACTCAAGAGGCTACTCTAACTAATTCTGTCTCACTCCAATTTTGTCACTTTATATCTCCTTAACATGCCTTTTTTTTCAAAGCATTTATTACTATATGACATTATATGTTTGTCTGATTTTTACTGTCTGGCTTCCTTACTAGAGTGTAAGTATGACAAGAACAGGGATTTTGTCTATTTTATTAGGTGCTATATCTCTAGCATCTAGAACGGCTGTTCAATAAATATTAGATGAACATTTGTTTGACTTTTAGAAATTTAAAATTATAGATTTTGAAAACAGTAACTATTCCTGGAGCATTTGATTAGTTTTAATTATGTAATTTTCTTAAACATTTGGTGGTAAATCCACTCTATGACACAATGTCAAATTCAGTAGATTAAATAAAAAGATACTTGGGAGCATTTCTGCCATGTTCTATTAGAACCATGGGTACCATCAAAAACAAAAACACTTCCTTCATATTGGCCCTATGACATTATTGAGGGTCTTCACAAACACCCCCATACAGGTTCCTACTTTTATCCTGAATTGAATTTTTCTATAAAATCCATAGTTTCTGACATAGTCTTACAGCTCCAACTATCTTTTGGAACTTGCATTACAGTTGTCTACCTGATAAAACTATTTCTTCTGACTAGAGTGTTCATGGAAACTTTTATAAAACTTGTATAAAAAGTTATAAACTTTTTTCTTGTTATGATCAAAAGGTACGGGAAAAGTATTTGTTTCACAGAGATAAGGAAATGAATTGGACATTCCAATCTTTATATACAATTTCTGTTTTATGGTTAGGAGCCATCACTTTCATTAACAGCACTAGTAATTTAAGAAACTTTTCAGAAAGAAGCAAAAATTTTCCCACATCTCAAGAGATATGAGGCACACAACATGGACAAGAAAACAAGACTATAGGGCGGATGTGGGTGACTGATCAGCCAGACTTCTTGCTATGTTTCTCAAGACCACACATCAAACTCACACTGACTAGGGTTTTATTTCATGGTCCAGTGAAATCACAAATTACTAATGTTACCTTCAGAGTTGTTTATGAATAATCAAAACAGAGAATGTTGCCAGCAGACAAACTGGAGACAATATAAACATCAAAATAATTTAGTAATGATTTAGAAAAATTTGAAAAACAAAAATTCATTAAGCCAAATAAATAAATAAATAAATGAAGGAGAAATGAGAAGGGTTTATAATAGAATGCCAAAGGCTGGTTGGTAAATATGGAGCAAATGGAGTTGGAAAATCATTATACTGTGACCATGATGATAAAGATAGAACCAGACAAATATTATCGATAGATGTTAAGTGTAAGGGGAAATTTTGATGAGGAACAGAATATTTACATTATTCTCAAGTGTTTCCCAGACTGCTTATTAGATGCAGAGAGGAATAAAACAGTAAACCACTGGGCAACACCTTGACAGGATGATCAAAACTGACATCACCTCCGTGCTACCAGATGTTATTCCCCAAAAAGGACTGTGTTCCAGCCAATACATATCTTCAATCTAACCATGAGGAGACATCAGACAAATACAAAACAAAGAATATTCTATTTAAAAAGGAAAGGGGAGGGGCACCTGGGTGGCTCAGTCTTTGAGCATCTGCCTTTGGCTCGGGTCATGATCCCGGGGTCCTGGGATCGAGCCCCGCATCGGGCTCCCTGCTCGGCGGGAAGCCTGCTTCTCCCTTTCCCATTCCCCCCTGCTTGTGTTCCCTCTCTTACTGTCTCTCTCCCTGTCAAATAATAAATAAATAAAAATCTTTAAAAAAAATAAAATAAAATAAAAAGGAAAGGCGAGGAGACTACATTCTTCAAAACATCGATGTCATAAAAAACAAAGAAATACTGTGGAAATGCTCCAAATTAAAGGAAATTAAGACATAACAGAGGCGGTATTGATAGTGTGAATAACTGTTTGTTTTTGCTATTTCCATTTATTTTATTATCTGAGAGATTAAGAAGACATTAAAAATATTAAAAAGTAACAAAAATCAAAATGTTTTGCTCACAGATTTTCTCAATTATTGAGTAACACGAAGGAACACAAAAGCCATACCTGTAATTGTGAACACTGAGGAATTTTCCTTCGAGGTGGAGTTGGGATAAATGAAGTCAGCTTCCTGACTGATTCTAATCGTTTCTGCAAAGGGGTGGCACCTATAAAGTAATCTTTAAGCCTTGAGGATGCACTGTGCCTAGGAGTCGATTCTGACGTATCATAAGAATCCATGGTCTACATAAAGAGAAATAAAACCAGAATTCTGAACACTAAAAAGTTAATTCATGCTTATAGTTTCACTGATCCTTCTTCTCCTTGCTATAAAGGAATTCTTTCTTTCCCTTCCTCACCCGCCCCGCCACTTACCCCCAGATTTGAGTTTTTAACCAAGTCCTGTATTTCTCATTGGCTATAGGCTATTTTTATGAATATCTTACTGATACCTCAAACACAGAATGTTCAAAACTAAATTAAACTCCTGCCCAACATCCTCCAAAAGTTAGCTGGTCCATTTTCAAATTCCTGCCAATTTTCTACGTTAAATTCATTTAAAGTGGGAGAAAAGTATTCTCCCACTTTCATTCTTGAACATGTAGTCATTAAGCACATTCTTTGAGTTTTTCCTTCAACAGTCTCTGTCATCCCAAAGCTACTTCTAGGTTCTTATTACAGTATCTAAGGGTAATCCATTCTTCAGCAGTGACACTTTATTATTAGTCGCCTGTGCAAAAAAACTTTACAGTGATAAGAAAAATTCTACTTCTCTGCTATTTAAGATCTTTTGTAATTCAGCTTGCTCTTGTCCTACTTCTAGGCATAAACATATTCTTGTCTTCATGTTTTCGCCTATCAATCATGTTCCTTACCCATCCCCTTTAGGACCATGCTTGAATTTGATCTCTTTTCAAGTAGAAGGGTTTTGTTAATCTTTTTTCCCCAGAATATCTATGAAGTGCATAAGCACTTCTGTCTGTATCAATAGCTCCTTCCTGGAAGCAATGTGTATGGGGGCATGGCTGTGTGTGTTTACAGAATGAGATCTCAGGGGTAAATATTTTTTAAAAGCCCAAAAATCCTCTCGATGAGTCTAACAAAATCTCTCAATATGTTTCATAAAATGAAACCTATTTGGAGATTAATAATATCCCAGCCCACATAGCTCTCCTTGATCATCTAGTCTGTATCACTCATTTTGGCCCATATTCATATAGTTCCTTGTACAATTTTTTTTGGTGTGCATTTTTTCTCTTCCCGACAAGACTAAAATACTTTGAAATCATGCTTTATATTTCTCTTGTACAATTATCCTAATATAATGCTGAGTATTCTTTAATTGTTAGCAAGTATTGCAGGGTTTTTTTGTTTGTTAGTTTTTGTAGTTTCAAGTTTTTCTTTAAATTCCAGTTAGTTAACATACAGTGTAGTATTAGATTCAGGAGTAGAATTTAGAGATTCATCACTTACATACAACTCCCAGTTGCTCATCACAAGTACCCTCCTTAATACCCATCACCCATTTAACCCAACCCCTCTCCGCCCACCTCCCTTAACAAGTATCAGTTTAAATGGACAGAAGAGGGGCGCCTGAGTGGCTTAGTCACTGAGCGTCTGCCTTCGGCTCAGGTCATGATCCCAGAGTCCTGGGATCGGGTCCCGCATTGGGTTCCCTGATCAGCGGGAAGCCTGCTTCTCCGTCTCCCACTCCCCTTGCTTGTGTTCCCTCTCTCGCTGTGTCTCTCTCTCTGTCAAATAAATAAATAAAATCTTAAAAAAAAAAAAAAGAACAGAAGAATTTCATAGAACTCTGAAATTATAACTTTCATTGAAAGGAATTATGATTTAAAAGTTATAATAATTACTCCCACGTATTGGCACAGTTACCCTTTGATAACAGTTTTGCACAAATGAAAACTTGTAGGGGCGCCTGGGTGGCTCAGTCAGTTAAGAGTCTGCCTTCGGCTCAGGTCGTGATCCCGAAGTGCCCGGATCCAGCCCCACATAGGATAGAGCCCCACATCAGGCTCCCTGCTCAGCAGGGAGTCTGCTTCTCCCTCTCCCCTTCCCTCCGCTTGTGTTTGCGTGCATGCGTGCTCTCTCTCTCAAATAAAACCTTTTAAAAAAATGAAAACTTGTATTTATTACTACATTTAAATTTTATTATGTCAAAGTAGGACACCCTCTGTATCTTGCACAAAACTTCACAGGTTAAATATGCATTTCTCAATGCTCAGATAATGCCCAAGCAAGATCATACACTACACAATTTAAATAACAGCTATTTTAAAGCATTCTATCTTTAAATGCATACTGAATTACCTCTTTAAAAGGGAGTTTTAGGGCACCTAGTTATCTCAGTCAGTTAAGAATCTGACTCTTGAATTCGGCTCAGGTCATGATCTCAGGGTCGTGAGATTGAGCCCCGTGCACCGGGCATGGAGCCTGCTTGAGATTCTCTCTCTCCCTCTGCCCCTACATCCACCCTTCTCTGGCGCTGTCTTTTAAAAAAAAAAAAAAAAAAACGGGTGCCTGGGTGGCTCAGATGGTTAAGCGTCTGCCTTTGGCTCAGGTCATGATCCCAGGGTCCTGGGATCAAGTCCCTCACTGGGCTCCCTCCTTGGCGGGGAGCCTGCTTCTTCCTCTCCCACTCTCCCTGCTCGTGCTTTCTCTCTGTCAAATAAATAAATAATCTTAAAAAAAAAAAAAAAGCAAAAAACAGGGGGGAGGGATTTTAATCAGTCCCATCTAAACAGAATGTTTCTTTCAAATTTTTATTTGGATTAATTGCTAACATTTATTGGGTATTCATCAGGTGCCAGGTACTTGTCCAAGCCCCTAACAAATACTGTCTCATTTAATCCTCAATCCCCATGAGGTGGTTTATTATATACCCAGTTGACAGACGAAAAGACAAAGAAGTTCAGTAATCTGCCAAAGTCATACAGGTAAAGAAGGCAAGAACCAGGATTTGAACCCAGACAGTATAATGCCAGAGTGGGTGCTCTTATCTCTTTTTTCACATTGCCTTTCTTTTTTTTTTTTTTAAAGATTTTATTTATCCATTTGACAGAGAGAGACACAGCGAGAGAGGGAACACAAGCAAGGGGAGTGGGAGAGGGAGAAGCAGGTCCCCCGCGGAGCAGAGAGCCCGATGTGGGGCTCGATCCCAGGACCCTGGGATCATGACCCGAGCCGAAGGCAGACGCCCAACAACCGAGCCACCCAGGCACCCCTCACATTGCCTTTCTTTTTTTTTTTAATTTTTTTATTGTTATGTTAATCACCATATATTACATAATTTGTTTTGGTGTACTGTTCCATGATTCATTGTTTGTTCATAACACCCAGTGCTCCATGCAGAATGTGCCCTCCTCAATACCCATCACCAGGCTAACCCATCCCCCCACCCTCCTCCCCTTGCCTTTCAATAGAGATCAATTTCAAGGCAAAAGAAGCCCTGCTAAATCTGACTCCTTAAAAGAGAAATGCTATGAATTCCAAAAATTGATTTAAAAATCTACATAGATGAGAAAAGGACTATTAGCATGGAGTCAGTTGGTTTTGAGAAAACCTTTCCCCTCAGTATTTAATATTATGGTAATGTGAAATATCCCAAACCACGCATGAAAGATTAGAAAATGACTTACATCTATTTTATTCTCTCACTCTGCACTCAATAAAGGACAATTTTGCCCTGCCCAATAAGTAAAAGGTTAAAGATATATCTTGACTCATTATTTTAGTGTCCCATTCTTAACCCCTTTCCCCAGTCCATAAGGAGTGATCCATAGACACCACTTCCATCTTGTCATTACCTTGCTGGAGATCCCCTAACAATTTCCATCCATCTTTCAGATGAAGTCAGAACTTCTCTGAGTTCCATGGCACTACATGATCTGATCTTATTATTTGATACTATCCAGGTTCATTTTCTATTTCAGGAGTTCTCAGCCCAAGATCTATGGACAAATGGCCTTTCCAAAATCCAACAACCCTCTAAGGTTGTATGCAATATGTTGGTATGCATGTGTATTTGGTGGTGGAGAGGGAGGAAGAAAGGTCCAGTACACAATTTTTGAAAAGATTAAGAACCACTGCCCTAGACTGATCATCACCTACTACTCCCCTTAGTGCCTGTCATGTTTGCCTCTGCTCCCTTTTTTATTCAGCCTTCAGCCAACTAAGGATGGTTCTCTCCTCCCATTTGCCTGACCAAATGCCATCCATCCTGGAGGTTTCACGTCCTCAGAAGCCGGCCGGTATCCAGAGTATCACCAGCTCTTCTTGCACTTGTAGTTCATAACACACAGTTACAACTTAGTTGTATTTCTTGTGGTAAATCCATGAAGGAAGGGACCCTGACTTTTTACATTGCTACCAATACCTAAATCCCACTTCCAATGCTTGGCCGAGTACCAAGCACGTAGTGTGCAGCCACCTAAACACAAAAGTCTTGTAGAAATAACGAGCACACGGCAGGGCAAAACATAAAGTTTACGGCCAGTCCTGGACAAAGATAAAACTTCTTACCAATAAAATACCGTGATGACACTGTCACCCATTCCGGCTTCAAGAGTCATTCTTCAATTCTGGTTCCAAAAGTAGGTAGACTAAAATCCCCTGAAGTTTAAAAAAAAAAAAAAAAAAAAAAAGCCGCCAAAATGGCAGGTAAGAGAGAGTTTGGAGGAATCCTCGGCCCCTCCAAATTCCCTCTCGCTCCACAATAACTGGGTTCACCAGGGACACAAACTCGCTTCCTCAGATGTCCGGAGACTTCACCCCAGGAGGGGCATTTCCGCTAACCCAGCTCTGCGACCCTCGCTTCTGCGGAGTCGGCCTCTGCCCGAGGAGGGGAAGGGCAAGGGACAATGGGTCCCAACTCTCCCCTCTCCACCTGAGCCCTTCAGAGGCCCAGCTAGCTCGGAAATCCCGCCTTTGAGAAGCTGCAAAACAGCGCTCAGCCGCGGCCTCAGTTTAAAATAGTTTCCCGTCTCGCTCTGCGGCGGGACGCCGGAAGACTCCCTGGTGCCGATCACCCGTTAGTGAAGCAACTACGGTCGCCATTTTAACTGAGGTCGAACGACCTAACCATAATCGTCAACTTGGCTGACCGCGCGGTGTTAGTCTTCAGCGCTTTTCTACCTGAGCGAAGCGTTCCTTCAAATTTCCGCCCATAGTAAGCATGGCGGCAGCACCTCTGCTCTGATTGGTTGAATGCCTTCACCGTAACTTGAGCGCTCTCGGAGCCAAACGAGGAGCGCTTGGCTCTCAATGATGATCCGGGTGTGGGTTCTGGACCTGAGAAGGTTTCGGGTTTGCTGACCTTTCTCTTTCTGAAGACCGGAAGGCGGCCGCCAGGTCGGAGAGATTTAAAACCTGAGGCCGAGTTCCTTCCTGTTTTCCAAGTTCGGCCTGCGGGAACCTTCGGGGAAGCGTGGAAGGAAGGGAAGGGCGGGCGCTTGTTGGTCAGCCCCTTCCGCCTCTGTATGGTTGCGGAGTCCCACTCTGCCCTGCTGTGTGGAAGGGTTCTCTCGGGTCTTCTGGGGCTGCAGTTCGGTTGGTTAGAAGTGGAAACTGATGCATTGGAGGTGGAGAAAGGCTCTTTCCCCTACCCGCTTTCCAAGGGCCCCAAGAACTTGTAGATTTATCTAGTTTCTAGACACGTGGAGTTGAATATTCAGCGGAGAAGGGCTTAAATATTGGAGAAGAGAGCGAGAACAACTAGCATTTTAAGGGATTTGTGTATATTTCCAAAAGTGACTTTTGATCATCATCCAACACCGGCAGCCTGGGATTCGTGAGCGTCTCTCGCCATCCTGCGGCTCCAACATGTTCTCCTGTTGGATAAGTCGGCAATACTGGGGTTTTTCCACACCCACCGGAAGGATCGCCCACCTGATCCGGGGTTCTCTCTCCAGAACGCTGGTGCTCAGTTCACAGAGGAGAACTCCAGGTGAAAGCAGTGAAGGGCTCTCTCCTCTTAAACAGTACTTCCTCCTGGTCTCTGCAGTCAGTGCTCTTATTCCATTTTCCTGTAGTCTGAACTGGATAGCCTTATGTGTAGAGGCAGGTCATTCACTCTCCATTTCTCATAATGTAGATTTTTGTCTGGAGTTTTAAAAGTAACCACATGAATTCTGCTTTTAGCTGATGCTATTAATAAGCCTAAAAAATTATTTCACATTTGAGAATGTTTTGTATAGTGTTTCTAGCGTGCAAGTGACTGGTTTCACTCTAGATTCATACCATCAAACTTCCGTTATTCCAACATCTCATTTCATTTTGGGAAGGAATGTGCATTATTAAAAATAGGATAATTTTAGGTCTCAATGCAAATGCTACGTAATCAAAGTTTAGATTTCCTAACACAGGGCAAAAACGTACAGTAAGACTCTTAATTCAATTGGCTTTTGACACATTTGCAGGTAAATTAAATAGTGACTGAATCAAATTATATACTTCAACTTTCTGAATTTCATTCATTGACATGAAATACTTAAGATGATATAATTTGAGGGTCTTTATTTTCAAGCAATTTGCAAATCATATGTTTTTAATCTTGCTTTCCTTTAAAGAATTCAGTAGCTTTGTTGCTCGGACCAACACGTGTGGAGAGTTGCGTTCTTCTCACTTAGGCCAAGAAGTCACTTTGTGTGGATGGATTCAATACCGAAGGTAAACTGGCTTACGAATGCCTGGTGGTTAGGGGTGACTTGTGTGGCTGGGTCCCTTACACTTTCAGCTCTTGATTTCTGCTCAGGTCGTGATATCAAGGTCGTGAGATAGAGCCCCAAGATGGGATCCGCCTGCTTAAGATACTCTTTCTGCCCCTCCCACCTCCCTCCCCCCCAAAAAAGAATGCCTGGAGGTTGTTTTCCCTCAGACAGTTCCAAACTTTTATTAATTTTCAATCACTCAGAACAGCAAAAGCTTTGCAACTCCTGCAGGATTCTCAGAATTCATTGAGTTTTCAGATTTGTTTTGAAAGACTCAAACAGAGTCACTGGAGTGGCATCTGTTGAAGGGTGTGATAACAGTGTGTTCCACCAGTGGACTGAAATGTCCCTTAGCTTACTCAAGTTGAAGAGTTCCTAGGACCAGTAGTTGGGAGTGGGCCAGCTGGTAAGCTTCAGTAGCATGAAAAAGCTTATTTTATTCTAAATTTAGGTAGAGAAAAAGCCTAAAAACACGAAGAGTGATTCCTTAAGATTAAAGCCCATTTTATTGTTCATCTCTATATTCCAGCACATTCCTGAATAGTACATTAATTAACAGTGAAGAGCTCCAAAATACATTGACTGTGTGGCCTTCCTGAAGAATATGTTCCATATGGGTGGATATTTGACCCATAAATTTGGTGACATCTGAACTCAAAATCTGAAGAGGTTTTCTGTACCTCTTCTGGTACTAAGGATAGTATGAGAAATGCGGGTTGAACACTAAAATGTTGGGATTTGGGGGACCGACCTTTTAGATGGTTTATAGAAGTATTAGTAGTTGGACCACCTCTAGAAAATTGTAGTTTTATCTTTTAAGAAAAGAAATTATAGAGACACCTGGGTGGCTCAGTCGGTTAAGTGTCTGCCTTCAGGTCAGGTCATGGTCCCCGGGGTCCTGGGATCAAGCTCCGAATCGGGCTCCCTGCTCAGCGGGGAACCTGCTTCTCCCTCTCCCTCTGCCCCCTCCCCAACTCGTGCTCTCTCGCTTGCTCTCTCTCAAGTAAATAAAATCTTAAAAAAAAAAGTTTATATTGCTATATTTCAAAAATGACCAATTGGATATTTCTAATATCCTAAAATATTTGTGGATTTTAATACATGAAAAGTTTCCAAATTTAATACAGTTTTCTTATAAAGACTTAAGCCAATGAAAATTAAAAGTTTGCTTTTAACTGACAAGCCATCTGGATAACATTAGTAAGCTGAATATATAACCAGTAAAAACTGAAATTGAAAATGAAAAGTCTGGGGTGCCTGGTTGGCTCAGTGGGCAGTGTGTGCGACTCTGGATCTCAGGGTTGTGAGTTCGAACCCTGCTTGTGGCATGGAGTTTACTTAAAAATTTTTTAAAAAACAGGAGCACCTGGGTGGCTCAATGGGTTGAGTGGCTGCCTTCGGCTCAGGTCGTGATCCTGGGGTCCTGGGATAAGCCCCGTGTTGGGCTCCCTGCTCAGCAGGGATCCTGCTTCTCCTCCCTCTGCTGCTCCCCCTGCTTGTGCTCTCTCTCAAATAGATAAAATCTTTTTTAGAAAAATTTAAAAATAGATGATTAAGAAAATAACATGCAACGGCTGGGTTTTTTTCCGTTAATAAGCTACATAGATAATTGCATGAATGTAGCACATAATGAAAATACATAATTATAAAAAGAACGTGGGAAATTGCATGGATTTTTGTTTGTTTAATTTGTTTTGCCTGCTTAAAATTTTGGGCTCAGAGATTTTGGCCTAACATGTTCATTTTCTTTATTGATCAGGCAAAACATCTTCCTGGTCCTAAGAGATTTCCATGGGCTTGTTCAAGTTGTTATTCCCCAGGAGGAGGTAATAGAAGGTTTCCTACTGTTATCTGAAAGTCTCTTTGATGCCATGGTAGAGTAAGCTTAGTATGTTGGTTAAGTATGTGTGTGTGTGTGATGAAATGTTCCTGGAATAATACATACATATCTGGTAACATTGGCAAACTCTGGGAAAGGCGACTTTTTACTGTATATCTATTTATACCCTTTGAATTTTGAGCCATGTGAAGGGTACCACCTGCTCAAAAAAAAAAAAAATTAGCATTAAAATTAGGTAAAAAGCTCTCATCATGCTTGTTGAGCAATATTAGTTTCTCTTGTGGTAATGTTTACAAATGCTTTATACCTAAGAAATGTATGATGTACTCAGTTCTTAGTCTTTGAAGTAAGTAAAGAGCAATGAATTATCTTTCAGGGATCAGGATCCAGAGACAAGTAGCTAACCCAGGAGAATTCCTTTCAGTTGGACTCCATTATTTCTATTGGATGTAACTGCCCCTAAGACTAACTCTGGAGAGAGTTGCCTTAAAAGTATGTAGGAATTGTTTCCATCAATCATTCTTCCCCTTATTTTCCTTTAAGGAAAAAATTCTAAAACCCTGAACTAATAGGTTTACCTGCTGTGTTATGTGGAGTCAAAATGGCGATGCAGTTTACTAAATTCTTTAAGAAAGTCATTAAGGGCAGCCCCAGTATTTATGGCAGTTAAGCTATGAGTGTTAATATTTTTCTAAACCATAGACTGCAGTAACTGCATATTCCTCTACATTCATTTGTTTGTCGGAACTGTTTTTCTCTCTCATTCTATAGTCAGCTGCTTCTGTGAAGAAGATTCTATGTGAAGCCCCTGTGGAATCTGTGGTGCAAGTGTCTGGGACAGTAATTTCCCGACCTCCAGGACAAGAGAATCCAGTTAGTAGTTAAGAAACGGTCCATGTAAATTTTACCTGTATACGTGTGCACTCTCTACACATTTAGGCAACAGACACCGAGCACTTATTAGACATCAGGCACTAAGATTTCTGCAGGTTCCACAAATGAACCTACAGATTCCAAAATCTTCACTGCAAACACACACCAATGTGCACAGGCATGTTAAGACATCTGTCAGTGAGCACATCGGCGACAGATATGCGTAAGAATGTCAAAATCACGCACAGACATTGATGCTTTAGACTACACGACATATGCACAATTTACACATGTAAATAAATGCATGCGTTTTACAAATGATCACTGGGTACAGGTCCTGATGAGTGATTTTTTTTTTTTAAAAATAGGTCTTTTCTTCTCTCTCTTTAAGAAAATGCCAACAGGTGAGATCGAAGTCAAAGTTAAAACAGCTGAACTTCTGAATTCCTGCAAGAAGCTGCCCTTTGAAATTAAGGACTTTGTGAAGGTGCCATCCTCTGTTATTAATAAAATAGAGTATCTAGAAA